GTATACCCACAATCGCTCGCGCGGCCGCGTTCTGGACCAGTTGAAGTCTCCGAATGCTCTTCAAGGGCTGCCCCATGTAGAGCGCATTGCAGTAGTATATGTATATGCCACTCAGAATATACAACACTGGGATAAAACAAAATCTGATTTAAATGGAAGGGTTTGCTGTGTCTTTATGCGTTAACAAGGCTCAGATACCTACGTGGAAATCCATACTGTTTTAACAACTTCTTCTTTGAGAGGACCTTCATGGCCTGCAGGCAAGAGAAAGATAATAACATTATAAAAACTATAGGCGATCCTGTAGGAGGAGAAATTTTTTGATGCTCCTGACAAGAATGGTTGGTGGTAGAAGTTGGTCATTCAGGGTTCATAGGAGTCCCTGGCAGGATATCTAAAATAAAGGCATGCTGTCATTTCAATTGGGAGTCTTTTTTAAAAAAAATAATCGGAACTGAGGTACTTAAGGAAGCAGGTAGCAAGAAGCCATTGATGCTTGTATCCTGGGCTGAAAGTCCCTCCTTGGGACTTTTCTTTTTCAAGCAAGAAAAAATGGTCATGCACCCCTATCAAGTAAGAATCACCATTATGCATGGAAGAAGGATTACTCCCTCTTCATCCCCCATCCTTAAGCTTTTCCACTAATGATAGTTCAGAATAGCGTTCTTCAACCTTGGCAAATATAAGATGTGTGAATTTCCCATCTTCCCCAGCATGCTGGTTGGGGAATTCTGGGATTTGAAGTCTATACATCCTAAAGTTGCCATAGATGAGAAACAGTGTTTTAGAAGAATGTAACTACTTCTCGGCTCCTTGGTACAAGTCCAAAAAAGATTTTGCTTATATATCAGTAATTGTAAAAGTATGCAATAAGGGGTGTGGAAAAACCAGGGGGAGACAGAAATCTAACTATTTCTAGTTGTCAAAATCATAATGGTTCCAAAAGGGGTGAGAAACTCTTGCAAATGATATGTATGTGATAATTATAGGATTACTGCAAAGTGGCAATAAAGAGAACATGGAATTTGTGTCAATGTGAAAAGTGCCTTGACAATTGGAAAAGCATGAAAGAATTCACCAGTCATTAACTAATTAGGTAATACTGTATGCAACCATAAAATTCGATTATATATTTTTCCTTTCCTTTCTGTTCCTTTCAGTTCCATTCCTTTCCTTTCCTTTCCTTTCTCTTTCCTCTAGCATATGTAAATATGTATGTATGTGTGTCTATTCAATATAAAAATATACCAAAGGAGAGCCAGTTTGGTGTATTGTCTGGTGTTTAAGGCATCAAGTTAGAAACCAAGAACCTGAGTTCTGGTCCCATCTTTGACAGAAAGCGAACTGGGTAACCTTGAGCCTGTCACTCTCTCTGAATCCTGGGAAGGAGCAATGGCAAACTGCTTGTGAGGAAAGAACTTTTTCAGACAGTTTTCAGGAGTGGAAATAAACAGGTACAAATAAACCAACCAAAACAAAGATGGAAAAAAAGTAAGAAAGAAAAATAAGAAAGAACATAATTTTGTCCTTCTTTCTATTGAGTATTTTATTGAGTTATTCTTTTACTTTTCAAATATTGTTCAATGACTCAACAAATCTGGAAAGTCATTTTGTGTGGAAGATTATTGTTATTCCAGCTCAAAATGGAAATGGGGAACGTTTTCAGCTATTAAAACTATAAGGTAGGCAACTTTCCCAAGCTGTTACCTCTAACTATGTAGGAATTCAAAGGTATCGATAAACCATAAAATGTCCCGTTATTGTCCCATCTCAGTCTCACGCATACAGTAATGGATCAGGAGAGGCACTTGCAACTTACATAATACTGATCATCATTTTCATTGTAGGCCAGCTTCACAACTCCGTAAGAACCCTAGAAATAAACACACAATCAAAGTCACTGGGTTGGTTTCATTGACCTGCTCCAGGGAAAGATTCAGTCTACAACTCTGTTTCAAGATGGAGATTGCCCTTGTAAAACCCATTCCCCACTGCTTCTCCCTTCCTTCTGGCATTTGCTCATTCCCCCACTCCTTGCTTTGCGGACAGATTATGGAACAGGGTGGGCAAACAGATTTTGAATTTTTTGCAGCCTCCCTCCCCTCCCCCCAAGCCTTCTCTGGTGGTGATCTGAAATATGGGGGGAACATTTTTTCCTACTATAAAACTTCCAAAATTACACTTTATGCATTTTTTTAAAAAAGAAAGATAAGAAAAACCACGATCATTTCTTATTCAACACTCAAAAAAAGTCATTTTCCTGCAATGCATTTTGCCTCTATGCACCCCCAATTATCTCTTGAACTTCGCCCCTCCCAACAAATTTCCTGCAGCTTTCTAGTTATATAAAGGTAAAGGTTCCCCTAGTACATATGTGCCAGTCGTTCCCAACTCTAAGGGGCTCATCTCTGTTTCAAAGCCGAAGAGCCAGCACTGTCCAAAGACGTCTCCATGGTCATGTGGCCGGTATGACTAAATGCTGAAGGCACACACAGAATGCTGTTACCTTCTCACCAAAGGTGGTCCCTATTTTTCTACTTGCATTTTTACGTGCTTTCGAACTGCTAGGTTGGCAGAAGCTGGGACAAGTAACAAGAGCTCACTCCTTTATGCAGTGCTAGGGATTCGAACCGCCGAACTGCTGACCTTTCTGATCGGCAAGCTCAGCGTCTTAGCCACTAAGCCACCGTGTCCCTCTCCTAGTTATATAGTTTTTAAAATTAATTTATAATATGACATACAAAGAGAATATAAAAGTAAATATTAGGGAAATTAGGGGAGGGGAAAGGGAAGTGGATAGTGGAGAAAAGCAAGGGAAAAAGAAAAAAAGGCATTGACATTTGACTTATTTGGTGCAGTAAAATAAGGCATTGACATCTACCCTCAACTTTCTACTTTTTCATAATAATATAAACTAACCATTTCTATAACAACAAATCTATTTAATCGGTAAAACACAAAATCAAAAAGTCATTTTCCCGCAAAGCATTTTGCATCTATGCACCCCCAATTTTCCCTCAAACTTCCCCCTCACCCCCAAAATTCCCTGTAGCTTCTAATCACTGTAAAAATAATCTGGTCCACTTCAGATGGACATTGCTTTCTGCTTAGGTAAGGAACTGAACTGAAATAAAGCAGTGTGTTTGGATGCTGTCATCCAGCAGAACAAGGCTGGGGATCTGTTTTTTATCTCTGCCAACTTTTTAGGCTGCCAAAAAATTGCTTAGTGCCTAGATGTTGTTGGCAGCTTTGCTCTAAAAATGTAGTGCTATTAAAGAAGATAATTTCTCTCTCTGATGGTTGTACCCTTCCATTCCTGACGCCTGCTGTTTATTATTCTCATTGAATGGAAGGGTAATAATGTAAGATGATCAGACCTATTATTCTTTTCCAGTCAGGGGGAGACTGTGTTTTGTCTTTCTTTCCCCCATCTTTTTAAAGCTATATGTCACTCACAGTATGTATTTGGTATCAGGGGAAAAAAGAAGTAAAAATGCAGGCTGTAAAAAGGGATTGAGCAGCCCAATCAGCTCCAGATTAAATTATCCTAAACTGGTCCAGCATTTTACATTTTTGCAGCAACCCAATTCTACACCTATTGAACATTTGGCATGGGGGCTTTACACAAGAAAAAGTATGGTATGTTCTCTAGATAGATGAGGGACAATATTAAAAATGTATTGGACATTTTGGAATACTGTACTTAGAACAACATAATGAAAAATAAGCAGCGTTGGTTTTTCTGAATGCAGAAAAAGTCTTTGACAATTTGAACTGGACAAGACAGCCTCCAATTCATTTTCCTCAAAACATACAGTGTGTAAGTTTTGGCCGAAGGCAGTCATAGACATGGGCTCAAGTGGGTGCCAAAGTAGGCACATTCATATCAGTGGTGGGTTTCAAACATTTTTAGAACCTCTTCTGTGGATGTGGCCTGCTTTGTGGGAGTGGCTTGCCGGCCATGCGACTGGGTGGGAGTGGCTTGCCAGCCATGTGACTGAGTGGGAGTGGCTTGGCAGTCATGTGACTGGGTGGGCACGGCCAACTTGTAAAATGTGGTGAAACTCACTTAACAACGCTCTTGCTTAGCAAC